ATGATTTCTCTAAAATTTTAATTTTGCGGAATTTTCGTTGGCAATGAATGTATCGAGGGGTTCGAGCGAAAACCCAATAAATGTCAAAAAAATGAAATCGGTTTTTTCTATTTCTACTCTATTAAAAACACATCTATCACTAATAAATGTTATTATTTGGTATAAGCATTTTTACGTTCGATAACGGACAAAAACCAAACATGTTAAAACTCGTTATCATATGTTTACGTCCTTAAAATAACGAAAAACCGATATATAACTTTAACAACAAAAATACTTCGGTGTAAACATTTAGAATATAAGATTCCGGTATAATCAATTATTTTTTCTTGGCCATAGTTTTTGAGTTTGTGAAAACTATTTCCGAGTCAAAAATAGATATTCGATTTTATCGGATTTTTGAATTCTTGAAAAGTGTCTAAAATATAAAATTAATTGTAAGAAAAATAAGTTAAAACTTTTTTTTTTAAAGAAATTCGTAAAATTCGTAAACACATAAATGCATTTAAAGAAGTTTAAGATTACTATATTTCCAATTTTGACAAAATACATTCTGCGAAAACCCAATAATGAATTTTAACATATGCTGGGTTATTAATTTTAGCGAACTTTTTCGTGGAAAAACCCAATAAAACGATTTTTTGTTATGCCAGAACGACTTACGTACATTTTTGTATTGATTAGTTTACTCTTGTCTGGACTTGTATAAAGATAATGCGTTCTTTATGAGTTATAGCTGGTTTAATTTGCCGTTCAATTGTGATTCCTGTTTGTTTGTTTTCGTAGTTTGAATTTTTTGAGGTCTAAATTAGTAAATATGAGTACTCTAAGTAAGATGATAATGGATGTGGTCATAGTAATAGTTTTTGTAGAAATTACATTCAACATGTTCTATCTGCAGGGCAGATTAATCTAAATCAGCATTTAACAAACAAAAAAGAATAAAATATTAAATAGACACTCCCTGTATAAACCTCCGCACTTAACAAATAAAAAAGAATAAAATACTAAATAGACACTCCCTGTATAAACCAATTATCCAAAGTTGTGTAATAACCACCCATTTAACTTTCAAGTAACCTTCAAAGACACCTGCTACTTCGCGAACAACTAAAGCTAGTCACGTGAGATTTTTCAGCCAATCAGAAGACAGATCTTAAAAACAATAGTCTCGCGTGCAATCATACGAGACTAGAGAACCAGTTAGAAGAAAGCCGGTAAGCCGGTGTGAGCTGACAAACAACAGCAGCAAAAACTAAAAATCACTTTTGCTTTGTCAGTCGAACAAGCAACAAGTCACAAAAAAAAGCCGGCATTCGCGGTAATCAATTCCAAGCATTGTGCGATTTAATTTATAAAAGCTAATATGTAACGTATCAATAATTTTATGTAACAAAATTGTAAATGTGAAATTATCAAGAAGTGAATAAATCAAAATCAAGTGTAGGGTGATGGTTTTATTTAAACACCCAGTGCTTCAACTAGAACTTCAAGAATATCTGTCAGATCCTACAGGGTGGAGTATGAGGCCTTCACCCTAGGTAATCTATTTCAAATACAGTCATACAGTTCACCATGATCGAAGGCAGTATATGTCAAGCCCAATAAAGCTAGGGTAGAACAGGTTTTATGTATGTATTGTGACCTAATTAATTTAAAATTAATTAAAGTCGAAAAGTTTTATTATAAATCAATCTGTGTTTTAATAAATTCACTGTCATCATCAAGGCATAAAATTTTGAATTCATAAGATAGTGAACTATTTTTTACCTAGTTTTTAATATCTTTAAAGTTTACGAAGAAAGTGATTATGTAATTAGTTTTAGCAATGTGTCAAAAATAAAAATATACTGTGCTGTCCATATGTATGGAATAAATTCATTTTTAGCGTTTTGGAAAACACCCGAAACAGGTCGATTTCTATTTTTACTTTCCTATCTGTATACAGATATAAGGAAAGTATAGGAATCATGATTTTTTTCGACCTCGAGTTTTCGACGGATTTTTACGTTTTGAGGTCCCCTGAATCCGTTTTGACTATTTTCGCGATGATGTCTGTCTCTCTCTGTGTGTGTGTGTGTGTGTGTGTGTGTGTGTGTGTGTGTGTGTGTGTGTATGTGTGTGTGTGTGTGTGTGTGTGTGTGTGTGTGTGTGTGTGTGTGTGTGTGTGTGTGTGTGTGTGTGTGTGTGTGTGTGTGTGTGTGTGTGTGTGTGTGTGTGTGTGTGTGTGTGTGTGTCTGTGTGTGTGTCTGTATAACGCATAACTCATGAACCGATACACGGAAAAACACCAAATTTCAAACTTAAGCTTTATTTTAGCGTCTAATGAGCTGATTAGATTTTGGGCAGAGTCGAAACATCTGGGGGGGTACTTTATTTGTGGTCATTTTTATATTTTATGGAATATATCTGTTATTTACGTTTGGGGAAGAAAATTTTTTAAATAAAAGTTACTTCTTATTTTATTATCTATAATTTTTGTTATTTACAAAATTTTTCTAAAATGGTCCGTATTCGAGAAATTTGACAAAATGTAAAAAAATATTTTTTTTTATAAAAATTGTTCAAACAAAAGTTGTTTGTAATATAATTCTCTATAATTTTTGTCCCATAAATAATTTCTCTAAAATAGACCGTATTCGAGATATTTGAGAAAATGTGTAAATTTCGAAATTTGAAGAAAACTCAAAAACGGATAAAGAAAAAATCAATAAATTTTAAACTTAAGTTTTATTTAGGCCTGACGTGAAATGATTAGATTTTGGACAAAGTCGGAACATCTGGGGGGGTACTTTATGGGAGGCCGTTTATATATTTTATGGAATATATCTGTTATTTATGTTTGGAGAAGAAAATTGTTCAAATAAAAGTTACTTCTAATATTATTATCTATAATTTTTGTCTTATGTAAAAATTTCCTGAAATGGTCCGTATTCGAGAAATTTGACAAAATGTGCAAAATTCTGATTTTTATGAAAATTGTTGAAATAAAAGTTGTTTGCGATATCGATCTCTATAATATTTGTACATACAGGATTTTTTTCAAATGGACCGTAATGGAAAAATTGTAGGAAAAGTGCTAAATTTAAATTTTTCAGTATTTTCATTTTCAATGAATATCTATAGAAAAATGTTTCGCGGTAGATGTATGTGGACAATGTATATATTTAGTTTATCCTCTAAACATTTATAGAGATGCTGCAATAGGTTGTACACAATAAACGGAAAAAGCCTGTAATAACTAGATAGGAAAGTCATGTGTTGGACACATCAGATTTTTAATTTAACAATTTATAGTATGAAAATATTACCACCCTCTTACACCTCTTCTGGAATATGAGAAGACTCTCGAAAATTTTAAATAAGAAAATATGTCGTGTGGCACATTGGTTAAATGGGGCGTTAATTTTATCTCCAGCAATATACATTTATTTTTTAATTTGTTGCAATTATAACTAAGAAAATTAATTTTGAAAATGTAAAATTTTGATTATGTCTGAATCACAAAACTTTACTTAGAATGAAGCAAATAATTAATTGTGAAATAAATTGAAAAATACACTTCAAAATATTATGTAACATTATCTGCTTCATACTATGTAATGTTTTTCGATGAGTACATTATCATAATTTGCTCAGTTATTATTGAACCAAATTTAAAACACTGTATATTGTTGAGCATAGAATTAAAATGTCTTAAAAAAGATGCTTTACGATCCCTTTCTTATTTAAATTTTTAGAGGGGATGTAAGAGGGGATACAGTTTTCATAATATAATTTGTCAAAATAAGAATAGAAATCGACATGTTTTAGATGTACAAAATAACGTTAAAATGAATTAATTCCATACATTTAAAATTAGAATTGTTAAGTGACAACTAAAAAAAAGATAGTACTAAAAAGTAACGTTGATTTTTATTACAAGTCGCAAAAGTTTGACTAAACTAGCTGGAATTAGTCCTATAACTACTAATAAAGGTAAGTTTATTTTCATTGACTGTAAATGCAAAAGACATTTTTATAATCGTGATTTTTGCCAACTACTTCATTTTTGTTTTAGCTTCCAACGTAGAGGATGATAATGTTCGGACATTTAACTTAATCTGTCAACCGCGCTTGCGGAGTGTTGTACTCGGGAATGCCACGTGACCTGTCGCATATTTACACGTCTTCCTATACGATGGCACCAGGGTGCTGAAATGTGTTAGCCTTTGTGGCCTACAATTGCACTACAGAAGCTCATTGCTTTGGGCACCCATACAAATTGTATGTTATTTGAAACTTTTCATTTTAATTTAGCTTTGTCTAGGCCGTTGGAATCTATGTCGGTAGGCGTAGCCAGATATGGGTTACAACTTTTTGGTGGCGGCGAAGCCGCCACCCTGCGAGAAGTCGTCGCTACACGATTCCGCGTTATTATTATTATTATTTTTTTCCTCATTTCTGCCTCATCGAAAATTAATGCAATCATTAGTAATGTTTTTTTAAAGAATCTGCGTATTGTGCAAATCGTACCTGGTGGTTACAAAAATTAGAGCAGTAACTACAAAGTGGTGTTGCATATAGTACGAATTTTCAAAAATTTACTTTACTAGTGCTTTTTCGTAATATAAAGTTTCACATAACTTTGTTAATACTTTTAGCTATTGTCAACTAATTTGAGAACGCACGACATCATTTATTTTTCAATGGGAAATGGAATGACCAGCGTCGAATAATTACTATGCATTACTTTTACGCCAATTTTCCCATAAACCCAGCCTTAAATAAATAGGTGAAGATCGAAACGTTCAATTTATTTTATCGTTCAAATACAAACACACAGAGCCATAAATTTTATAAATCCCGCACATTCAAACGCATTTAAATTGTCCTGCATGCGCTAAACACAGTTGTTAACTAAAACTAGTTATCGACACTCGAGAACCCATTTCTAAAATTAAACCGAACAATTTCCTAAATGCGACAAGTATATATCTATTCCTTGGTGTATTTCTTACCTTGATTACAACTCCTATCGTTACTAATCTCGATGCCGCCTCTGTAACATCCTGTAATTCCTCCGGCATGCACAAATTAACGACAAAACGGGCATAGAGCTCCGGGCTCTCAGTCGTCTAATTCCCTTGGTTTTACATTATTTGCAGTTGCATACAGACGGATGAACTTTTGAATGGGGGACTATAGAAAATAGGCATCGAGAGGTGGCAGCCACTCGCATTTTTTTTATGCAGTCTCTCCTCTGCTTTGCTAATTATGCTTCGGCCTGGTAATTACATTTTTGAATGAGGCCGTAATTAAAAGAGTGCCAGTGTCTATGATGCTGATGACAGACTTTGTAGCTTCTTTCTAAATGATTGGCAGTTGAAAAACTGGTAGTATCAGCGATTTTAATTAAAGTTTCAGTTTATTAATTAATATTACTAATATAATAATAATTATTAAACACAATAATTAAAATATATGATATATATATATGATATAATTTTCGTTACACTATTAAAAATATTCTCCTTAACAGGCAATAAATAATTGTTTTCTGAACATTTAATTTAAATTCTATTTTATATTTTTTACTAAATTACGATTGTTTGACAACTCTTTCAATGCCATTGTCCTTTTTTAACTACTTTTTTCATTTTTTCATTTATTTATTTTCATTTTCTTTTGTAAACCAAAAAGGTTAAGAGTTAAAGAGTAGCTTCAGCTAATCTTCGCCTTCTTGGTGCAAATGTAATGTAATAATTTATTTAATAAATACATTATTATTATTATTATTATTATATCCTGGTTAATACATACATAAATAAAAACATGACCAGTAACATTGCTAACAGGAAATTAATAGGGGATTATTATTGGTTAATGAACAATTCGAAGGCTGGAAACGTTTATAAACGCAAAACGCTATACAGATGTGATATTTAATGAAGAACATGTGACTTATATTGTCAAAATGACGTAAACACATATATCCGATTCGATTCGAGAAAGGAAAATACTGCATCATTTGAAAAGACCCTAATGCCTATCTTCGTTGTTATTATTATCATTAGCCTGATATTTTAATGCTATAGTCTTAACTTATTAACTTCGTTTATATTGGTCGGATTTTAATTAAATTTTAAAGGTCAATGTCATGCGACATGCTAACTATGAATTGTAATTTATTGGGCTCTTTATGTATAATGTCATATAACATTCTAATCTTGTCAATCTAGTCAATCGGTGAGTCACCAAAAAATCAATAATGAGTAAGTCAAATAAAACGGCAGAATGTGAGGATCACATATTTAATGCTGGATTCAAAAAGAGCCTTTAGTAAATGCCAGAAATCACTAAGAAAAGTCATAAAATGCAAGCCAAACAAAAAATAATGCCGAATTCTTTATAATGATGTCATCTATTATTCGACTATTACTTATTTCGACTTGTCACATAACGTCATTACACGGTAACAAAATATTAATAGGGGGAAAATGCTATCTATTTACATGAAAGCAGTGCCAACTAACTTATAAACTAACGGAAGATGTTTTTTTTTGTATACTGACCAGAGCTGGGTAATTCCTAGTAAAAAAGTAATGAATAATTACAATTACATTTTTTTTTCAGAGTAATTTGGAATTGTAATTGCAGCTAAATCTGTGGAGAAATTGTACCTTGTAAATATATTAATTTATATTATTTAAATTGTTTAACTACAATTACTTGTCATAAGTACAATTACTTTTCTAATTACAATTACGTTTCCAATTATAATTATATTTATAAGTACAATTACATTTTTTAATTACAATTACTTTTAAATGCGTGTTTGTGAGATGCACGTGATATAAAAATAAGAAATTTCCTATTCGAACCGGTCACTATAGCTAAAACTCGCATCCATATCATTTGTTTGAATGCATTTGAGGAAAGCATTGTGCCGTGAAGCAGTGAAATTGTTCTACCCAAAATAATAACAGTAAGGGGTAAGTAGATGCAGATATCCTTATTTTTAGGACGTATTTTGTATTTATAATATTATAAACATAATTTATGTTGCATAAGCATTATAAACTAAGGAAATATAGTATGAAGTGGTGCAAATAGCAGTTTTTATAGGGTAAATACTTAAAACTACTTATTTACGTTGCGTAGGTATTTCTAGTTATTATTCTAGTTTTCTACAAGTATTTGATTTTAACGTAGAAAATAATTAGTGGCGAAAGGGGGACGGGGGGCTAAGGGTGCTTAGCCTCATCGATGGCAAGGCTTAGCCTCCCTTTGGTACTAAAGTAGATCGAATCAGCGCATCAGATTTTAAGTTCACTCCACTCTAGCAAAGTAAACCGATCAGCAAAAAGAAAAATATATTTTGACTTATTTTAAATACCAATTAGAGTATATTTCTGCTATTACTTTTACACTGCCGAGATGGGAGATATTTCACAAACTATTACTTTTTCACTGATACTAAAAAGTAGCAGGTAAGGTATGTTACTAAACCGCGAAATAATTTGTATATCAGCAGATATAATAATTTTAAAAAGAAAAATAAATAAAATTCGTCAGTGTATATTCTATGCCTTAATGGTTGATGAAGCTTGTTGCTACAAAAGTGAACAGTTATCTATTGTAGTCCGATATGCTAAAGGTTTGGATATAGAAGAACGGTTTTTCGGATTTATTGATTTTTCTTCGTGTCGAGATGCTGCTGGTCTAGAAAACTTAATCAAGAGTTTTCTACACACCTTGGAATTTAAAGCCCTGATTGTTGCTTAATCGTATGATGGTTCCAGTGTTATGACTGAAAATAATGCAGAATTGCAAGCAAAAATTAAAACGTCTTACCCTCAAGCAATTTACAGGCACTGCATGGCACACAAAATAAACTTTATAGTAGTACACACGTGTAAATCCGTTGCGGGCGCAGCCCATTTTTAATGCGAATGAGGGTTTGTAATACCGCTACTCAAAACCAGGTGCACATAAGACATTTGAGCTCATTCCCCAAAAATTTGACTACGGAACTTCAAAATATTAGTACGACTAGATGGAGCGCTGTCGTTTCCAAAATTATAACAACCTAATTAAAAAATATAATGCCACAGTTTAAAAGAGTCAGTTAGCTCACTTGGACCAGTAAAATGTTCCAAAATAATATCCACTCCAGGGATACAAATTCAGGATGCGCAGAAGACTGCTGTTTGAATATCGGCTGTTGTCATATATTGTATTGGTTATGATTTGATTCTGTATGCGCCAGGGATACAAATCCGAGTTGTGCAGTGTATAAACTGGAACATTGAGATCAAAAGTGCCGACGCAGAGTGAGCGAACTGACTCTTTAGCTATAAACTGTGATAATGCTATCAAACAATGCATAGAACAAGAAATATCTGATGCCAAAGATCACGACTCAGTTGAAGCGATGAGAATATTTTCAAGTTTGTTAAAAGCAGAGTTTTTAGTACCGCTTTTTGTATTTCATTTCATTTTAAGCATCATTCGCCCCCTGAGTAAAAAATCCTAATGTTAGGTTGGGAGAGGTTAGTCAAATAATAATCTACTATTTTGCTTTTAAAAGATGAAAGGAGCAGTTTTTCAAATCTTTGGTCTAAAGTAGTAAAATTTGCAGAGGATAATGAGTTATGCCTTGAACTAGTACGAAAGTTAAAAAAAACTTTACAAGCTTTATCAGATTTTTTAGTAGAAAGTTCGGCAAGTCATGAAGCAATAATATTGGGGATAAATGTCGAAGAGCATTGGAGGGTAATTATATTTTTGTGCTCTAAAAAATCAATTTGTGGAAAGACTTGGTAGAATTTGCAAAAAATATTGATATTTTTTTAACTCTGTCCTTTGAAGGTGGTAATGCTTTCATTCATCATTATGCACAAGTCATTATAGCGAGTCAGCAAAAAAAATATATGCAATAGATTCTTTTTTTATTCGCTAAGTGTAGCTGGAGACACGTTTATGATTAAGACATGTTGACAAATATTTTAAGATACCAATAAATTTATAAATAATAAAAATCATTTAAATAAACACTTAATTGATATTTCGTATATAAATATCGAATCAGCAAATATATATGAATGAGTCGTTGTCTATAATCAAAAACATCTAGGAGGTACCTATTTCTAAGTAAAGGTATGCCTACGTCAGAGAAAAGAAAGTATGGATTATTGGAATACCAAAATATATCCAAATATAATTTGATGATGAACTACTAAATGGTATGACTTGAACTACCAAATGGTGTGGCTAAATTGAACAATATTATAAAAAATTAATTTTACTTACATTGGTATATTTAAGGTTTTATTGATTCATACTTTCTTCTCTCTGATTATTGTTTTTAAATCAAACTAATTCGATTTTCAATGCATTTTTTTAACAAAAAAACCTTAACGTTATCTTTTAAAACGAAGGTTGCTTTCAACATTACTTGTAACCACCATGGATACACTTACTTACAATCTCTACTACTATTTTCGTACCCTGGCTGCATGCTTACCTCAAATATCTTGTGACATTATTGACCGAATAAAATTTAAATTAGTCTTAGGCTATATCTAAATTCACTATTAAAAGCTGTTAGCTCAGCTTTTTCCCGTATAAAACCAAGAAAAACGACGTTCCAGATAACGCAATCAAATTTTTAGTACGTTTTAATGACAATGCTCTTTAATGTCTTTTCATAGTTTGAGTCTTTAAAGAAAAGAGCTAAATCAAGATTACGTAATAGACAAACCACAGGCCGTTAAAGGTACAAAAAAATTTAATCGCTTTAAAAGTATCTGCATAACTTAGCATTTTTACATTCTATATCTTTAGTAGTAGAGGTATGTTTAAATTTTTCAATTTATCATTGGTAAGGAATATCTAGACTATTTTTTTAACTGTTCCCTCAGTTTTGAAATAAGCGCGTTTTTGTCTAAACCAGCGATTCCCAAAGTGGTCAATGCCGACCCCTTGGGGCCGAAATCAGTTTCCCAGGGGTCGACATAAATGAACACTAATTTTGGGGGTCGACCCCTATTAATTAACAAAAGTTCTTATTTTAAACTTTCAAGAT